CAAATGCCCTGTGTGTTGCTCAGAGACGAACATTTCTGTTTTGTTTTTATATTTTCATTGGTAAAATTGAGCAAAACGGACAACATTGTGTCTAAAATAACACAATATTAACTTCTTACTTACTGAACTGTTGTATAAGATCAGTATCACATTTGCTCTCGTGTGATATTGCATCTGTGCATTGCATTGATATCTGTGTGTTTCATTGTGAAAGCGAAACTACTTTGTTTGGTCTTCCAAAAGAGGACGATATCTGCTTCGTCATGCCTAGAGCTGATCCGTGCTGGTCGCTGAGGAAATACATCAACTTCACGCTGTCGATCGCCGGATTGTCCAGAACACTTCAACCCAAATATTCAGATGTGTGCAGCACATTTTGCGCGAGGATGAGGACTGTTTTCTGTGAGAGTAGCCTACAATGCCGGTGTTTGTTTCTATAAAGTGGGGCAGTTCCAACTTTGCAAGGACAGTCTGGCGCTTCTGACTCACAGCCTGTAAGTAAGTTTTTTATATTTAAAGAATTTGCCACTGACAATTCAAACGCGAGTTTTGAGCAGTGTAGAGTAGCGCTTGTTGTTTTTCATTTCTCCAGACACGGTTTTATGTTTACGTAGCGCGATACGCAACGCGTAAAAAGACAGTATAAGTCATTATAATCAGTAATTAAGTCCCCACTGGATGCAACAAATGCCTCGTTTGTAATGGGTTTTATTGTTTTTGTCTTGTCGCGCCGGGACACAGGGCATCACAGTATGGTAAGGGGCGTAACATTTCCTTCACACGCTTGAGGTATTCAGCCAATCACAACGTCAGTGCCAATACTCTAAAGGAAAAGACCCCCTAAAGGAAGACTGAGGGTAGAGTCTTAAATCCGGATTAATCCAGAAACAAAACTTCAGATGCCAAATCAGTCATAGGTTTAGTGGTATTTGCTATCATGCATTGCACTTGAGCCAAGCAAGTTGTAAACCCCCTCTGCATTTTACCCAGGCTCCCTCTCTACGTAGGCCACGGGAATAAATCATTAATGGCTTTTTTGGAAAAGAAGCTGTATGCAGTCTTTCATGCCCTGTCGCCAACCTGAAGTCCTTGGCTCCCTTTCAGAACGGTTTTATTGCCCCGAAATTGCGCGGCTTAAATCGTGTACCCATCGAAAGTAAAACACAGCTGTAAATCTGGTCTATGTCTATTCCCCTCCTAGTCCCCCCACCGCCACCCATCAAATATCCATACACAATTCATTTAGGGCAATTTAGCTGATGCTAAACAGAATCAAGGTGAACTTTCAATGGGCCCTCGGCTATGAGAGAGGAGGAGCAGAAAAATGGTGGCCTAGCTTTGGGGGGTTTTAATCAACCAGCTCCTCAAGGCTAGCCATCCAGCCATGGAGCAGCCGCACTTAGCAGATGAGTTTTTGTGTCGCTAGCCCGAGTGCGTGTTCTCTAATCCTTCAGCCTAAAGTGTTTCGGTATTGTAAAATATGGCCACACGGGTGGAGAGAGCTGCCGGCTACACGAGATTAGAGTCACGATTAAAAGCCTACGGGATCCTCCTCGACTGCCAAGCGCTAGCTGGAGCGCTAGTTACGGCGCAGTCTGCAGCCGGAGATAAGATGGAACTTTTGTTTGAAACCTGATGAGAGGCTTCCTAATGAAAGTGCTGGCCCAAAAATAATCTTTTTTCTCTGTGTTAGTCAATCAAAAAACAGTGTGGTCGGGGACGGTGAAAAAAAATAAAAAGTGGGGGAAAAAGAGAAGTCATTTTGCATAATCAGTGAGCACCATCTGGAACAATTAACGAAATTCCACAGAACTTGGAGGATCAGTCATAGTGGCTTATTAAAGATCCTGAATTATAGGAGCAATAAATCCGTGGAAAAATGAAGCGTACCCCGGCCTGTCATCACTATTTTAACTTCAAATACGCACGAATATTCGATAAGGCTGAAAAGAAGAGATTAATATATGCAAATTAAGTCAAGCATTTTAAACCCCCCCCCCAACAACTGTCTGCCATTTTTTTCCTGTCTCTTATTACGAGCCTTTATGTTTTATTCATACACCAGCTCACCTGTCATTTCATAAGCTCTAATATTATGGGGGTATTATTAAAGTGCGCAAAGTGGCGCTTTAATTGGAAAGCTCTGTTGCATTTTCCAATTATTTGGAGCAAATTAAAAGCAGATGCACATACTTTAATAAGGGGACTAATAGCAGTTCCGGAAAATCAAAAATCATTGTCACTCGCTCTGATATTTTGCAAACTTAAGGTAATACTGAAACATCTCTGTATTTTTATCTTTCTCTCTCTCTTTCTCTCCAGGCACCTCTTGATTGATCTTCCTTTATTACACCAAGGAATAATTGATTGGCATTATATATAATCTTTAATAAAGGCATTGTCATTCTTTTTGTGATTAATGCAATAGATATGTTACTTACATAGGGGATATTGAATATCTGTGTTATTATGAGTATCTGTTGCTTGTTTTTTTTATAGACAAGAATGAAAATGACAAGTGGTAAAAGTCAAGCTCCTTACCACATATAAAAAAGATATTAACAATATGAAGTTCCCTTTACAAAAAACATTTAGAGAATCACAGCTCATACGATGCTCATTTCTGATAGACTAAGTATTACTTCATTAATACTCCCAAAAAAGAATGTATTCAAATCCATCACCTCACAGATGTTGCAAACAGACTCTTTTTCACTCTGATTCCTTCGCTAATTAGGAAATATTTCCTTCAAGCCATCAAGCTAAATGAAAAATAAATGACACCAAAAATCTGCTCAGCTTCAAAGAGGCGGTGGTGAAACAAAGTAAGAGGTTGTGAAGTCTAGAAAGACCCAACTTGTTAAAATGAGCGTGGACTGTCAAGTGAATGAAGGTTGCCAAATCTATGTGAATTAGTTTTTAATACTCTGCTAATAAATGTCAAAGCACCGGCACCTCAAATCCGCGCATATGTGGCTGACGATGACAGATTCCCAGACATGTCGAGTCTCCTGCGCTAGGCTAGTCTTTAATGCGCTGGCTGGTCTTTTTTTTTTTTTTGCATGTGTGTGTTTTGTTGGGAAGTGACGGAGGGTTTAATCAAGAAAGCAGGCAATTCATCAATCCTGAAGGAGCTGGTGCTACGAGCCTGACAGAGCGCACATGGTTTTAGTCCAGCTCGAACCTGGCCAGCTGTCAACATCCACGCGCATACATATATGCACATATGCGAGTTCGCGGAGTCCCCAACGATTAAGGTAAATCCAGCTGTCTGTTTGAAACCCCACACTTGCTCCTCAGGTCATAACTCAATTCATGAAGAAAATTCAATAAAAGTCTCTAATAACAAAAAAAACAACGACAACAACAACAATAATAATAATAAAATAGTAGTAATAATAATAATAATGATAATAATAATCCTACATTTTAAATAAAAAATAAATGCATAATTAAATTAAATAGATTTAACAAATAATAATAATAATAATAATTATTATTATTATTATTATTATTATGTATGCTGCGTTTCCAGTGATCAAGGTAAATCAAGTTGTCTGTTCAAAACCTCACACTTGTTTTTCAAATCATAATTCATGAAGATTAATTGTAATAAAATTCTAACTAATAGTAGTAGTAGTAGTAGTAGTAGTAATAATAATTCAGATTTCTATAAATAAAGCATATTATAATTATATGTAATAAGATATGTGTGCATGCTAATTTGTGTGTATATTATTTTATAAATTACAATGCACATATCTTCTAACATGTAATTCTAATATAATTAATTTATAGAAATATGGGTAAGACTTTATTTTAAGGTGTCCCTGTTACACATTATATGTACTTACTATTATAATTACATGCAAGAGAGTCGGACTCGTAACCCAAAGGTTGCGGGTTCGAGTCTCGTACCGGCAGGGATTGTAGGGGGGGGGAGGGAATGTACAGCGCTCTCTCCCACCTTCAATACCACGACTGAGGTGCCCTTGAGCAAGGCAACGAACCCCCAACTGCTCCCCGGGCGCCGCAGCAAAAAAATGGCTGCCCACTGCTCCGGGTGTGTGTTCACGGTGTGTGTGTGTTCACTGCTGTGTGTGTGCACTTTGGATGGGATAAATGCAGAGCACTAATTCCGAGTATGGGTCACCATACTTGGCCTCATGTCACTTTCACTTTTTTTAATTAATATTACTCAGTACATACATGTATAATTTACACTGTAACAAGGACACCTTAAAATAAAGTGTAACCGAAATATGTATAATTATACAATAAAACAACAATAATAATAATTATTATTTATAAGAAGCTTAAGGCAACATTGTCAGAACTGTGGCACAGCAGTTTGTGTACACATTCCCTGTGTCTCTACTATCTCCATCAATAAAAAAATACCAAAATATCCACTGGATAACTAGACAACATACTGCTCCGCTGCTAAGCTCGCCTGTGAACACAGTTCCTGACGGTTACAGAGACGTTGCTAAAGGAGGATCAATAGAACTCACTACTGGTGGTGACAGAGTGATGATTGGTGGCAGAGCATGTCTGCATGTCAGTCAAATGGCATTACCATGGCGACAGGGAAGCAGAATGCATCAGCCCACGTGCTGACAGAACCTTTCCTTTCTCTTTGGCCTCACTCGAGAACAAGTCAATCTGCTGTCACTTTAACCACGTCAAAGGCAAGTGGCAGAGTTTAATGTGTCAGTCACTTATTTTAACCACTGAAGCCTTGATACGATCAACGTGCCTGTAATCGCGCAATCACAGTACGCATAAAATCTATATGTGACTTCCTGAAGTCTCCTTAAGGCTGTTTTAAGAGCAAAGAGGTATTAATGCAATTAATGAAAATACAAACTGAAGCTAAAATATAGTAAATAAAAACCGTCAAAAAATCCAAATCAAATGAATTGAGGGTCAAAACAACTAGCAACTTGCACATCATCTAACTTTTTTCTTCTCCAGCAACACGTGGTATATTCTTCACATTAAGCCACTAAAATGAAAATATGAGGAATAAAATCATGATTACAAGTGCAAGTTATACACTGTATGACCTGCACATTTTATCATTAATTACCAAAAAAAAACCTATATCAAAAAAGCACATAAGTATGTGTGACCAAATGTCAGCTTTGGACCTTGATGTACCTCAATACAGTGTGATTTCTTCCTCTGTGCTACAGATTAGCTCATGCTCACCACATGGTGTCTCTCTCCAGCCAGAAAAAAACACACAAGCATGCCTTCACATCCCAAACTCAAGTTATATTTTGGAAATGGAAGACAGGTCTGCAGAGTGAGGTGGTCAATGGGATTTCCTGAAGCGCACATATCACATTCTCCTAATGTTTGCATAGAAGTGCACACGTCATTGGTGTATTTTTTTTCTGCCACTTGAAGTGTTAACAATAATTGTAGCGATGTCACTAAAGTCAATTTCACAGAAGGTTGTTCAGCGATGCTGTAAACGTTTGCTAGAATTACCCAAAATTAATGCTGAACTTTTGAGATAATAGTCGCAGAGGGACTGACCTGATTTGGTGTAGATGTTGTAGATTTGGTGTTCATAGTCTGGCCTGACCATGTTCTTTTTAGTAGGACTGGAGGCTGGATACTCTGGGAATTTTCTAGGAAAGAGAAGCAGAACTGACCTCATTAACTATGTGCAAAGACATAAGAAATAATTAATGGAAATGTTCAAAAGAATCACTGTGTTCAGGAAAACGATTCTGGAAGGAGATCTCACACAGCAATAGAAATCGTTCTGCTTTCTAGAATTTCAGGACCGTTTATTTACACATGGTGTCTGCAAAATTATGAAGCAATTATGCAAATCAGATTACAACGCAAACACGGCCCATAAAATCTGTCATGAATGCAATTTGCACAATTCAAATCTTCAAAGTGCCACATTGTGAACGACGCAGCAAACTGATGAGATCTGGCATACTTTACTGGACTGTACAACACTGTGCTCCACAAATGAATCAGCTCTTTAAAGAGTTCTTGAAACTAGAATATAAATATGATATAAATATACCAGGAATCATTAATGTTAGGGATTGTGGGTCTCCATCTTTAACCACTGTGAATCACTGACTCCATCTGATCATTAACCTCCCATTGTCTCCCCCTCCCTGTCTGTGGCTCTTAGGTGCCTGTGAGCGGTTGTCATGGAATCAGTGGTAATAAGAAGGGTTTCCTAAGCCAGTATGGTATAAGACACACACACATACACACACACACACACACACACCAACAACAGTAGCAGTCCAGAAACGGTCCTAAAACTTATACACACAGTTATACACACACAACCACCTCATTAGTCCAAGGTGTCTTTGGTTAGATTATTCGTGTCACCCTGCGTGGACAGCTAAATTGTTGGACTTTTTTTTATTATTTCCTTGGAGCATCACACTAGATTCCTAGTATACTATAGAAGTGCCAATGAATCTAATAATGTTGCAGTAATTATGCTGAAAATATTCAAACCAAATTTTCAGAAGCCAATTTTCTGATAAACAAATTAAATCCAACCAATAATTTATTATTATTATTATTATTATTATTATTATTATTATTATTATTATTATTATAAAATAGATTCATCCTATTATAATAAAATGGAGAAATAATAATTTATATTATCAACATTATCAAATATATCTATATTATATTATCAAACATTCTATATTTTTATAATACAATTTTCACATTTTGTATTACTACAATTATACTTTCATACATGCAATTTACTATAAAATATTTTATATTTCCAATACGATTATTTATTATTGTTATTAATATTAATTAATTAATTTTCATTATATTTCTGCATTTAGACTTGAATGAAAAGAGGAATAAAAGCAATTTGTCAAAGAGAATAATAATAATAATATTATTATTATTATTAATAATAAATATTTTGCATAAAATAATCCTCTGCTGGTCTCAAGTCAAACTGCTTATCCATATCAAAGTTTTGGGAAAGAGCAAAAATAGCGTGCGTTGCACTTCATGGACAGTTTGAACTTGCTCTCCTCATCAATCAGGTGCTGGTGAATTACACTCTCTGACTCACTCACGGGAATCAATAAATTCAGTGCTCGCTGCCTGAGTCTCTCTGCTTCAAGAGCGCTGCATAATTCTGCTTTAGACATGCTTTGAAGACCAAATGAGCATCTCCAACAGGTTACAGGATGCATCAGATGCATTAAAGTCAGACAGAGTCATGTTTGGAAGAAGATTAGGAGCAAAGTGACACCGCCAAGGGGAGTAAGATGTCATTTAGCCGGCGGTAGAATCTGAGTTTGAGAGTAAGTTAGGAAGGTAAGTGCAGAAGTGGATGTTGGAAAAGCTTCTGAAATGTGATATCAATGCAAAGCAGGAGATGCCTAGATGTTGAAAATGGAGGAGGGGTATGTTTGAAATAAATAGATGAAATGGTTGAAGCGCTCGGGCCGGGCGTAGATGCAAATGCAAATCCGGTTGGTTACTTTGGTGTAGAAATCCGCTAAGCAAAAACCGAATTAGCAAAACACAGTCACTGATTCTTTCTGAAAGCCCTTTTTTCAGTCAAACACCCTGTCCACCAGAAATCTACTGTACATATTCATCCGAATTCATGAATGGGAACTGTGGGTCAGCTCTAGTATTCAACTCGTGAGTAAACTGAAGACAGGTCTGCCGTGAGTGGCTACTCTGCATTTCTATCAGGTGTGATGAGATAAATAAATGCAGTAATTTCTATCAGGGGCCATAAAACATGCTCCCTGACAGCCTGTGGTATTTATGAACTGAAGCCTGCAACTCAGATTTATTTCTCTCGATGGGGCCGACTTCTCCCTGTTCATCTGCATCAGCATTTGCCCGTGTTCAATTCGGCCCAATGGTGAATTTTTAAAAGGTTGGCATCAATCTTGTGGAACCGATTGCCACATTTAATGAAGACTTCCCTTCGTTTGCAAAGGTTGACTCGAACGCAGGGGGGAGAGAAAGCCGGGGACATGGCTCTACGCGCATCCAGACATTTCACAAACAGCCATAAACTGAAAGGAGACAGTCCGGATGCTCTTTCGTTGAAACTGGCCTCAACTACCCCAGTCACTGGAGCAAGCCAAAACAATAGCGAATGATACCGAGCGATACAGAAAATGGAAATGAGATATATTCAGTGAAAAGCCTGTTTATGACACACAAATCTATTTGGACGTAAAACATCACCAATTTGATAAGGTCAAAATAGAGATAAGAGCTGGTCTTCAGAAAATCAACCATCTTAAGATGATCTAACGTCGTGTATATGTTAAAAATATAATATTTATATAGAGCAACTCAAAAAAAGCACCCAATCTCCAAAACTTTATGACTTTGAGCCGCCTCTCAAAAAGTGAAATAAAACTATAATATAAGTTTCAGGAGCAAGCGTTTCCCTATCTTCAGAGCTGTCAAACAGTGTAACCATACTCAATCCCAATTCTCTGCTTTTAACAGTTTAGGGTACATTGGGTTTGGGTAGCATATGGCATATCAATTACACATCTAATTCTTAACACACAAACATGGCTACATAATCAACGGCAGCATGAGCTTGCATTACGTCGGCCACTGGAGTTTTGACTACAATTAATCATCATTCAAACCTTGAGCCACACTGACACAAATCCCAATTTTGAATATCTAATTATACCACAATACCTCCCAGAATTAAAGCAGAACTGGAATTACAATGTAAACAATTTAACTCGTACACCACAGCATAAGCCTCAAATGGTTTGTGGCATTTTAGATCTTCAACATGCTCCGCTTAGATCTATGGATGATGATGAGGTCAAGAATGAATTGAGTCTGAAGACAGATGAAGGTCTCGAGGCACAAACCTGGAGGACAGTTGATGGCTGATTCCTAATAAGGCCAAGTGCACACAAAGACAAGCACTCAAGAATATCACAATGCCTGGTAGTTGGAGGAAGAGGATTGACCTGGGATGAAGGACTGGACAAATAAGGATCGAGTCTTCAAACGAGGTGACTTCCAAAAGGTGTATGTAGACTAAATAAGACCAAATTGCAGTTGGATTACCACTAGTGATAAGACTAACAACAACACAAAAAGTACTTTAAAACTTTTCCATGAACCAAAAGGATTGTTAGCTTGTACAGTATTTACAGGCAAGGCAATATTACAGCCTGGGAAATTTCAAGGATCTTCAACATGCTCCACTTAGATCTACGGATGACGATGAGGCCAAGAAAGATGGGAGTTTGAAGACAGACGAAGGTCTCAAAGCACAAACTCAGAGGACAGTTGATGGTTGATTCCTAATAAGGCCAAATGGAAGACAAGTGGACACAAAGACAAGCACTCAAGAATATCACAATCCCTGGTAGGCGGAGGAAGAGGCTTGACTTGGGATGAAGGACTGGGCAAATTAGAGCAAAGTCTTCAAATGCGAAGACAGGCACATCCTAGTAGTGTAGGTAGACTAAAATAAGACCGAATTGTGGTTGGACTACCATCGGTGATGAAACAGAATTTTTTTTTGTGTATTTTAAAACTGTTGCATGAACAAAAATGGTTGCTAACTTGTACAGTATTTACAGGCAAGGCAAAATTACAGCATGGGAAATATTGAGGAGCCTCGTAAAGGAGCCAATTAGTCAGGGTAATCTCAATATCAAAAGCCCAATGCCACATGCTGGAATCTCCACGGGTGGCTGATGAGAAACTCAAGAAGGCATCGGTGTAGAAGCGGAAGCACAAGTCCGTCTTGGGGAGGAGACGTCGGGAACATCCGTCACACTGTGGACAAATTCGCCAAAGCCTTCGGTGAGGCAAAGACTGGGATAAAAACGATATATAAAAATAATGCGGCGCGAACTGAGAGGAATCTGGAAGCCGGTGTTTTGACACTCATCCGAGATCCTCGATGACAACACCTCAGCGCTCGCTCCGAGCAGGCAGCCCACACAACCCACGGCTTGTAGACAGCTGCTCTCTGCAGTGGCGTCTTTCCCGCTTGTCATTACCCCACTTAAAGTTCCATGTCAGGTGTGGAGAAAGAAGAATCTTGAAGAATTCCATGGCGGAATATGGGAGTGTAGAATCTCTAAAGAGCCACAGATCTTTGCTGATGATTCTATTGTTTGTGGCACTGCTCAGTTTGAGTTTACTTGATGTGTATGGAAATTTGCACGCTTTTTAGGGCTTTCTGGGAAAGGGTACACAGAAGAGTGTCGGAAAAACACATTTGAGGATGGTGTCACAACAGATATCATACAGGGCCTGCCTTCCCTCAGAACTGATAGATCAGACATTGTTTGGAGAGCTGATGTTGAGTAGGTGACACAGAGGTCACAGAAACCAACAAAGTGCGGGAACACTGACACCCGTCCATCAGTGCTACTCATATGCTGTATAGAGTACTCATAATCCAAGACGTTCCCATGTACAGCCTGTACCAGTATCTATCTATCTATCTATCTATCTATCTATTGATATAACTTTATTCCAAAGTTCAGCCAATATGAATTTATATTTACTGAGCTCCAGTAGTGAGTCAGTGGAGTGAATCATGGGAAGGCATAAAAAAGGCTTCCTGCTCACAATGGGAAATATGCTTGAC